CTTAATAATTAATTTCATTCCAAATCTCCTATCTTAAATTACTAAATAAATTATCCTGCTTTTATAATAAACCCGTATATTCCAAGTTATATAATAGGCTATCTAAGTAAGATATAAAGCTTTAAATACTTTAGCCTAATTATTATTTAGTATTCTTAAACTTAATAAGAATATTATTACTATAGTTCTTTAGATCCAAGATAGAATTCTTTATAAATTTAATAAAAATCTCCTAATTTATAGTATTAATACCTATTAATTACTTCCTATATTTCCAGATATTTCTGATTATATTCTTAAAATAGGAAATATAATATATAATCTTTACTATATTAGTAACCCAGATAATTCTACTATCTTTATATTATTTTAACTCTATCTAATAGAAGAAGTCCTAGGCTTCTTTAATATTCTTTCCCCAGCAAGTGGGCAGTTCTCGGGTTTTTAGAGCCCTCCAAACTAAGGGTACTACCGGGGATATAACAGATTCTATACCGGATATCCGAATATCTTTAAGATAACGGATCTAAGCTTCTAGCTCCTTCAGATCTTCTCTCTATTATATCTCTATTTCTAACTTAGTAATATAATAGCAAGCCGCTACTAATTTCTCTATTATTATTATTCTATCCGCTAGTTCTAGGAATATCTGAGTTCTACTTCCTTCTCCTAATTAGGTAGTACGAAGAATACTTGACTAGGTGCTCTCCTGGATACCCGGTTAGGTTACTCTAGTAGCAGTAGAGGCGCTTCTCCTGGTTAATACTCTAGCTATTAATATTTTGTCTATTAATAGCTTGATTACCTTGTAACGAACTACTCCCCGAAGGTTAGATTAATTAGAATATAAGGTATATAATAGCAGGGTAATATATAAATAGTTAAGGTAAATAAGCTATAGAGTAATACTTGCAAGTATAACTGATTCCAAGAATTAATTCTAATAAAAGACTAATTAATGCCCCTTTCCAAAGCTAGGAGCGTCTCCCTATATATTCTCTAGTACTTAGCCAAGTCTGCGAAGTACTTTACTTAACTAGGAAATACAATCTCATGTGATCCGTATGATTCCGATCGCCCATATGATTCCGATCGCAAGCTTTACCTAAAATAGGAAACTAGATCCACGACATCTGATACTTGTCCATGCGCTATCACGTGTGCCCATTATAATATCCTTGCCATTAGTTCAATATTTCTATCCGGTTCCAGTTCGACCCACTTAAACCTTCCCCTATATTGTCCCAACTCTATAGCCGCACTCGTATTACTGAGCTAACTTTATTAAGTATAGATTCGAGCATAACTCTCGAGCAGAACCAGAATGAACCCATACTCGGAAGATTAGGGATAAGGAGGCCCAAGAGAGGCTTTGGCGGATTATCTGAGAAATTGCATATAGGCTCTACCTGCTACGGATAGGAAACACTGAACTAATTAGCATTGATTTGCCGAATAGATCTCGAATCAGAAGCCCGGTTTCAGTGTATCAAAGGATTAATTACGTTAATTAAATTAATTAATTAATTAATTAATTAATGTGATTAGATTATAATTAACGTGATTCGGATTTTTTTTGATTAGATTAATCTGATTAATGCTTGATTAATCACGTGACACCGAAGTTTCTTAACTTTTTTTACTTTTTTCTTTAATTTTACTTATTAATTATTAAATAATCTTATAACTAACTAATAATATTATAATAAAAAAATCTAAATTAAACTAAGAACTAACTAATTACTCCTTTTCTATAATAATAAACTAATTATCTATAAGGGGCGTACGTAATAGCGTGTGGACGGATATTAGATATCGTGGATCTAGTTTCCTATTTTGGGTAAAGCTTGCATGGGATCGCATTTCCTAATTAAGTAAAGGGCTTCGCATACTTGGCTAAGTACTAGGGAATATATAGGGAGACGCTTCTAGCTTTGGAAAGGGGCATCGATTAGTCTTTTATTGGAATCAACTCTTGGAAATCAGTTATACTTGCAAGCGTTACTCTAAAGCTTACTTACCTCGACTACTTGTACATTACCCTGCTATTATATGCCTCACAGCTTGGTAAGCTGCGGCCCAGGCCGCCGCTAGGTGGCCGTAGCCCTAATGCGGTAAAGCGCGCTCCCGATACGGCTAGTACTAACACGTGTCTAGTCACGTGCTCCATTAATTAAATTAATTAATTAATAATTGATTAATCTAATTAGATTATGATTAGAATATGATTAATGGTAAATTTCTTTGATTAGATTAGATTAATGCCCATTAATCTAATCTAATCTAATCATTTGACACACTGCCCGGTTTGCAGAGACGGAAGAAGCACAGGCTTATATAGTCTAAGGATCTCAGCAGTGAATACCTGTAGGTATTAATCGGAGTGAGCCTCGATATTCTCTCCCGGGCCCAGGAGAACCACTAACGCATAATAACGACCATCGTGGACAAAATAGAGATCCAAAATCGCAAGCTGATTTCTGTTCTGCGGGAGCTTCTAGATTCCCAAAAATGCAGAGTCCTTGAGGGCTTTAAAGATACGGATAATCAAACTCACGCCTTGGTTGGCGATTTAGTTGAGGATCTGCAAGCGCAATAATGCCGCCTGGTCGAGGAGGGGGCTAAGGGTACGGAGCAACGAATACGTCCATTGGTCGTCGATTTAGTACGAAGATTGCGGCATAAAGTGACGGGATTACAGGGCATAATTATATGCAGTCCACTAAATAGCCCTGTAAGGTCTTACTTGCCCCCTGAAGGGTATTTCGCTTAATTAATGAATGTTCCAGGGGGGCTAAATCAGCTAACCAAATTAGTAATAAATAAAGATATACTTTAGCTATAAACTACTACTTTCTCCTGCCCCTTTTTTGTCCTTTCTTATACTCAATTCCACCTTCTAATCTAATTATCTCCTTTACGTAATATGGAATTACCTTAATCCACTCTTGAATTTTCGCTTGCATAATACTCTTTTAATATTTCTTTTACCTTGCTCTAAGCTTCTTACTATTACTAGTAGACTCTTGCTTTATAGTTTCCCTCTTTATATAATACTATAAACGCTTAATAATATTCAAGTCAGGTAAGTTACTTGGCTATAGCATTTTTATAATCTTCCAGAGATTATAAACCTCTTATTAATAATAAGATTTATAAGCTAGAGTATTATTCTTCTAAATAATCGTTTTGAGACGGTTCTTTTAGTATTCCTTTATAAAAAGTAAAAGCTTTATAATTAAGATCTCTTTTTAATAGTAATACTAATTAATTCCTCTATATCTATTTTTTACTATAAAAGCTCTAGTTTCCTTATTATACTTCTATACTTTTATTTATTTCCTTAGCTATTTCCTTTACTATTTCTTTCATTTTTATTTATTTGCTTTCTTAATTAAGGAGTTCCTTATATCCAAATCGGCCTTTTTATCTTTTTTTTACTATACTATTTCCTTTTCCTATATATAATATAGCTTTCTTTTATTATACGAGAAATATCCCCAAAATATAAACTCAAAGAAGCCCTTCTAGTATCTTCTAATATAATACTTATTATATACTTCTCCTAGAAGCCTCTATATCTTTCTTTTTCCTCTTATATCCCCTAATTAAACTACTATCTTGTCTAAAAAAATCACATTTTTCTAGTCTTTAAGTTCCTAATCCTCGTATACTAAATACTAATCTAGCCGCTTCTTTTTACTAAATCTATTTAAGCCAGGCTTTACTATTAGTTTGTACTAAGAATAGCTAGCTATAGTAAGGACTTTCTAAACTATTCATATAGCTATCTTATAACTCCTCTTTCTGACTTCTTTTATAATTATAGTATAAGAAAAGCCTTATATAGTCGAATTTTGAAATATAACTTGCAAGATATACTTGATTATAGTAGGTAAGATTACTAGCCGGCCAGATCGGGATTAATTAAGAATATAATATACTTCCAAGAATATATTTTTATTCTTTCTCTCTCTATATTACCTAGTAAGGCTTGCAAGCTTATAAATACGGGTTCTGGATACTCCTATAGCTTTCTTAATATTACCTATAGATCTCCTTTACTTAAGTATATAAATAGCCTTAATTCTCGTACTAGTTAAGTACTCTTTATATATAATCTCAGGTATAATAAAGGCTATAGAGATACTAGGAAAAGGACGAAGAGAGAGCGTAAAGCTTGGTATAATTGAGTTATTGTTTTCATCTTCTAAATCTAATAGTAAATTATACCAAGTATCCTCTTTATCTTCTGTAGCTTTGCTATATTCTGATTCGTCAGAATCAGGAGGGAAGGAAAGCTCTGATTAGCCATCTAATAAGTCTGGAAAGTCAAATAAACCACCAAAAGTAGCCATAAGTACTAGCTTTTATATGGGAAGTGAGAGTAAAGAAGAGAGTGAGTGGTAGGGAGCCCAAGGGGGGGGTAAAGCTTACTTTACCCCGCTACCGATTGCGGACGCAGGCCTAAAAACACAGGGGCTAAGGGCCTATCCCTTCGTCCGGTGAGACATAGTCCACGCTAGCAAGGGGGCCTGGCTTAGACTGTAAAGTCATACCTTTGCTTAAAAAGTTATTAGTCATCTATCACCTTTTCGCCCTAAGCCAGGCCCCCTTACTAGCGTGGACTATGTCTCACCGGACGAAGGGATAGAAAGCCTGTGGCTTAATGTAGCCTCCTAATCGGGCTATATATGGTTTCAGTGGGCTTCAGGGGCCTTACGCCTCTGATTCAGACTAATTATAGGGCTTACAGGGCTCGGTGAGACACTACAGGCTCTATTAGTGGCCCTATATTTATGCATGCACCTGTAATCCCGTCACTTTATGCCGCAATCTTCGTAGAGGATATGCATTGGTGTTATGAAGGCCTACTTGTATCCGTTGCGCTGCGGCCTGTGCACTGGACCGTGCACTTCTCCGCGAGCAAATCCAGCAAATCAGAGAGGCAAAATTCAGATTTGGGCTTTCTGATTTGCTATGATTTTGCGCGTACAATTGAGCACGAAGTGCAGCGCAACAGATAAAGAGGCTGTGCCACCTCACGTCAGCATGCTCAGGCTGAGCTGGAGTGCAAATCAATCTTGTCACACTCTCCAGAACTGTAGCAGTCAGCACGATCGCATCTTTTCTTTCTCAGCATCTCGAGATTGTCTTGTCTTGTGCGCACTATGTTGCACTCCAAAGCATACCTTAGTGTTGCGGTCCTGCTGGCGCATATTGCGCGGGCTACACTCAATACTAATTGTTTCCGGATGTCAGATGGGCGGATTACGGAAAACGTTGGAGCTATCCCCTGCGGCGTTGTGACTGCAGATTCGGTATGTCAATTCCTATTTGCAGAATACAAAGTGTTGGTGTAGTAACATTAGTGAATACAGCCCAACGTGCCGTGTTGCAATGCGGGGAGTTTCTGTCTGGCAGATAGTATTTGCCTGAATCCAGGCACTCCGAATTCTGGCTTTTCAGGTTGTAAGTAGATATTCTAGACAATGAAAGTGCGCTCACTGGTATTGGTACCCTAACGTCGGCAATAGATTATACCGGTGGCTGCACTGACCTAACCTACGACGACCAATCCTGTAATCCATACTGCCGTGCGCTTTTGCTCCTTCTCCACTTCTTTGCCAGTACATATCTAATCCGCAACAGGAAGCGTTCCTCGAGCTGATATCGTATACAATAACGGAACGAAGCTTTGGTCCTGCTGTGGTACAGAATCAGATAATACGACTGTTAATTGCAACGATCCCACTACTATAATCTTCTCCGACCCCGCCCCCACTGCCCTATCCACGACTTTCTCCGTTGGAAGCACAGCTGGGACTTCCATTCCCTCCTCCACCTCCTCTGTAACTACGACATCCATATCATCATCTTCTGCCACAACACCGTCAGGATCACCCTCACAAACTGGTACTGGTTCTCCTCAGCCATCGAGTGGCTTGAGCACGGGGGCGAAAGCGGGGATCGGGGTCGGCGCTGCCATTATAGGGATCGCGGTGCTGGTAGGAGTATTTGTTCTTTATAGGAGACGAAAGAGAAGCTCGATGCAGCCGCCAAGCTATAATCGAAAGACAGCGCCAGCAGAGCTCGGAGCAGTACCCGAAGCAAAGAGAGCAGAACTGAATACAGAACGGCCTATACAGGAGCTAGCGTGAGAAGTTGGAAATTTTGATTGTTTCTACTCGTTCGGCCGGGCTCACCTGGTTCTCGCTTAGCACGCTTACCAGGTGAGAGAGGGCAATACGCAAAAACCAGCAATACGCAAAAACCAGCAATACGCAAATCACCGCAAAAATTTGTATGGGGAAATTTGACACCCCCCACAACTACGGATTTTTGGCTCTAAATTTTAGAGGGGAGAAGTTTTAGTATTAAGAAACTATTTCTACTTCTTAACGAGTTATTAATTACGTACGGTTGCTCCCAAAATCATGTGCGAATAATTGATTTTTGGTAGGGTTTTACATTTGCGTATTGCTGGTTTTTCGGTATTGCCCTCCCTCACCTGGTAAGCGTGCTAAGCGAGGACCAGGTGAGCCCGGCCGAACGAGTAGTGCAAACATTTGTGCACTAAGCGAAAGGGTGGGGTGTTCGGGTGGGGACGGTATTTTTTGTGTCCAGATATCCTCTCTCCCTTCGATCATTAATCTTAGTGGCATTGAAGGCAGCTGGTCAGCTTGAATTGGATGTCAGCCTTAAACGGCTTCATCAAAATTGGCTGTCAGCTGAAACTGGGTGGTCAGCTGGAAGATGGGGTGTGGCGCTGAATTGTGGCTGACTGTGGCGAACCGTGGCTGAGGCTAATTTGTCGGAAATCTGGAAAGCCGAATCAGATGCTCAGCGGACCTATCCCAGTAAACTTTACATAGCTTCAACACGCTTTGGATAAATTAATTAATAACTATTTATATATCTATAGTTATAAAAATGCTATTGAGATATATTTCAGTAGCATAGAAAAAAAGGAGTTAAAAAACCAGCTAGATATAGAATACATTCAAACTGCAGCCAATTAACTAATATATAGGATAAAATGAAGCTACTTTGCCTAAATGAGATCAAAGAAGCATCAGATCAAATAAACCCACCAGGAATACAGGAAAATTGTTCTGCGTTAAGGTATTAATTTTTTTTATTAGAGTGACAGGGGTCACGCTCGGTCTGCAAGGATTTTCGCTTCGCAGGGTCCTTTTTGAGCGCCGCCGGGGCTGCTAACAGAGTCTCTAGATAACCGTCTGGAAACATGTATTTCACGTATTCTTTGTGGGCTTTGTTATTATTATTCTCACTACTTCCGCGAGCCTGCGTGCCGTTAATCCTCTGCTTGGTTACTTGACGGTGAAACTTATTATAGCCTTCGAGGGTTCGGTATTCTGCTATAAACCGATGCCACTGCTAGAAGTTATTATCCGTTTCCAACTTTCGCAAGATTAAATAATACTCGCGAAACTATATATAGACCGGGCTATTAATTGCATTGGACTACTGGAAAGGCTCGTGCAATTAATCTGCAAAGAGGCCATGGACTTTTAATATTTCCCAATACTTGTCAAGTATATTAATAAGGTCCGGCCGGGGAAATAGCCTAGTAACTGTCTCTAAGGAGGCATGCTTGCCTCTCTTTCGTTTGGCACGCTTCTGGAGCTTCTCACACTTCTTGCAGTTATAGCGCTGGCATATGGGGATGTCCGGGTCAGCTTTAGAGTAGGAACCCTAGTTATCCAAAGGAGGGCTAGACCCGTAACTGACGCTTCCCGTTGAGTCCAGAGACAGGTCTAAGATCTTATCCAGATTATGGTTCAACGATATCGATATATTTCCTGGGCTATAGTTACTATTCTGTATAAAGGCATACTTCCAAGAGTTATCTCTATTAGGGCTACCGGGACCCATAATTACTTGGGGATTAATGCCAGAAAGGCCATTATCTCCATAATATATTACAGAGTATATAAAAATAAATTAATTCGCGGCATCTTTACCTAGCTCGGATTCGAGCTCTAGAAGTAGATTATTAGTTCTTTCTTGCAGATGGGGCAGGATCTCCATTATGGCTTGAAGGCACGATTATTGGATAATAAAGGTGAAGGACAGGGAGGGGAGGGAGAGATGTCAGATTTATAGGTCGTAGGGGACCTGCGAACTCTACTTTTTCGCATGTGGGTAGCTGGCCCGATTTATTTATGGAACATGACATAGGTGGGATTAAGAATCCAAGCTATAGGACTCCGCGCTCCCGTAAGGTCATAGGAGGGCAGCTTGAGGCAATCCTTGACCCCATCTTTACAATTGAACAAGAGGACTCGCCAATTCTCGGATCGTATAGAATTCCCGTTTTCGAGTAGCAAAAATTCCCTGCACTGCTCGCAGGCTACAGTCGGTCCGATCCAAAAGCGACAAAACGGTCGCTCTTTTACGCCCATAATAACTTTTTAATTACAACCCCAATTAATTAATACTAAGTAATGCGATTATAGAGTAGAACTAGGTGAAAAACACCTATTAATTTGATTTTTAATACTATTTGTAGTTCATTAATAATCGAGGTTCAAAGTATACGGACCCTTTTTACTTTTTTGATTTTTCCTTATATAAAACGCCAATATATTTGCTCGCTAAGGTCACGTGAGCCCGGACTTCAGAAGGAGATCGCGGCATCTCACCAGCCTTATTATTAATATAATAATAATAATTAAGCCCTATAAGCTTAAATAAACCTTTCTAGATATTAAATATAGCTTTTTCTGGTACTATATATATTATATATATAGTAGGGCTCTAATTATATGGGTTTCAAGCTAACTTTTAGCTAAATTAAATCTATAAACCTTGTTTATTACTTAGCTATCTTCTTTTTCTTACTTTTATATATTATTTCATTTATTTATTACCTTTTTAGATATTGTTCTATAGCGTTTTTGCTTTTATAAATACCAAGTAGCTTGTTTAATACTTAATTTCTTCTAATATATATCTATCTAATAAAATATATAGTTATAAAATCTCTATATAATCTTAATTAAATAAGCTTTAAGTGCCTCTATTACCTTAATCTTAGTATCTAGAAAGCTAGTCTTCTTTACTTAATAATATTAAGTTTTGCTATATCTCTAGTATATCTTAATTAAATTAATTTTATAATAGAACTTTAATAAAAATATAGCCTTATATTTCTAATCTATAATAAGGTTTTTAACTTGAGATTTCTCTTTAATAAAGTCTTAGTAATTTAATAGTATATAAGCTAAATATGATATCTATTTAATAATAAGAGAGTATTTAAGAAATATAATATTATAATAGGGATATAAAATACAGAATAATATAGAGTATAAAATGGGCTTCTATAATATGGGATTATAGTATACGAGTGAGACGTGAAATTAGAGAGTAAAGGTTAGTTGATTTCTAAGAACTAAAAAGAAGAGAGGAGTAATATAAGCGAATTACGGACTATATAGATATCCGGAGGTTATATAATAGAACCATATAACTAGGAAATAAAATCCCTATTATAATATATTTAGTATTTTTTAAATACTTAAATCTTAAGCCAGATATATTATAACTTTATTTAATAAAAATCTGTTTTATGCCTTTAAGCTTTCTTTTTCTATTTAAATTAAGTTATTAAAGAACTTAAATAATACCCTATAATCCCGGAATTATATATTTTAATAAAAAGTATATATCTCTTTTATAGGCCTTAATATTACTCTTTTTAATTTCTTTTAATATCTTATTTATATTAAAGGCATTTAATATATTTTTATTATATAAAATATATATAAAAAACGAATTAAATATTAGAATAGCTATATAGTTTAAATATTTCTATTCGAATATATTAAGTATTCTAGTAATCTATATTAGTAGCTGTTTTATATTTTACTAGAAGTCTTTATTTGAACCTAGATATATAATTATATAAATATTTAAATTAGAATTATTTAAAATAAAAATACCTTTATTATTTAATATTCTAATATATTCTTTAGGGCCTATAAATTCAGAATTATAAATTAGCTTCTTTTTATTCTTTCTAGGTATTTTTTACTAACTATTTACTAGCCAGAAGCTTTTTTTTATAGTTATATTTATAGAAATAACTCTTATTATAAAAATATATTATATATATCTTAATTTTAATTAGAAATAAAAGTTAAATTATATATTATATATTAGCTTTATTTTCCTTATATTAAATTATATATAATAAAAACTTTTTTATTAATAGTAAAAATATCTTTTAATAATATTAAATTATATTAGATTATTTATATTTATTTATATAAAGCTCTTTTTAGTCTTATAATAATAAAAGCCGAATCTAGAAAGCTATAAATAAGTTATATTATAAGTAATAGGCTTTTCTATTATTAATAATAATTAAAATAAATTTTTTTAATTAATAGTATTTAAGAAATTATTTAGTAATATTATTTTAAGCTTTTAATTAATTAACTAAATATAATAGACTAAAAAAAATATTTTTATTATTTCTAGTTTCTTATAGAATACTATATTACTATTAATAGTAATTAAATAGTTTTCTAATTTACTAAGCTAATATTTTTCTATTATTAAAGTAATAATTACTAGAAGCTATTAAAAGTAATATTATAAGATATATAATAATAAAGTAATATATAAGTAATTAAGATAAATAAGCTATAAAATAATACTTATAAATATAACTAATTCCAAGAATTAATTTTAATAAAAAACTAATTAATATCTCTTTCTAAAGCTAGAAATATCTTTCTATATATTTTTTAATATTTAATTAAATATATAAAGCTTTTTATTTAATTAGGAAATATAATTTTATATAATTTATATAATTTCGATTATAAACTTTATCTAAAATAGGAAATTAGATTTATAATATCTAATATTTATTTATATACTATTATATATATATTATATTAATTCTTTTTCTGGGTTCTTATTTCTAAAAAGCCTTAGAAAACTATAAATAGCTTTATATATATTTCTAGAAACTTTCTTGGCTCTTAATTTTTTTAAAAACTCTTTATATTTGCTTTATTATTATACTAGATAATAAATTTAAAAATATAGTTTCCTAATTCTATTTAGCTAATTTATAAATTGCTTTTAATAATTTCTTCTTATAAAAATAATATAAGTATAATATATATTATTAGATATAAAATTTATTTAATCTCTTAATTAGTTTATAAATTCTATTTTAGCTTCTATTTATAAATAATTATTATTTTATAAATTCAAGAACTTAGAAAAGTTAATTTGATTTTTTAATT